AACTTATTTACTCAAGTATATAATCTTTTTTTTATTAATAATATATATCTATAGTAGTATTTTCAAATATATTAAGATTTTTTTGATTTTTTTTTTGAAGAATTTTACTTATTTTAGTTTAATTTTAAATTTTTTATTATATTAAAAATTTAGATTAATAATTGGCTAAAATTTTAAACTAGTTGATCAACATGTAAAAGAAATATAAACAAAATATATACTTCTTATATATTTTATATTATATTATATCAAAACTAATAATGTAATTATATATGATAAAAGAGCAAAGTATCAAGGCATCCTTTTGATAAAAGTGACTTGAAATTTTTTTTTCTCTTATATTAATTTTTTTTCTCTTTAAGATTAAAAAAGGTTCTTATTAAACTGGTAATTAATTTAGATGGATTTTTATTTACCAATATAAACTTTTTTTTTTTTTTTTTTTTATTTTAAAATTTTAAGATTGTATTGGAATAACAGTCTAAATATAGACTAGCTATAATTTTTCAAAGGAAAGGCTTTGATATCCAAACTTTAAGAAAAAGAAAATTTATTATTCCCTATAATCACATTTAGAAAGTTAGAATTTAAAAAGTTTAAGATAATTAATATCACATAATAATAGCTTAATGAATCTACTTTCTTGTAATAAAATAATTAGTGAATAGTTAGATCATATGGGCAATATAATAATCTTGATATTAAGAATTCAAGGATTATATACAAATCTACAAATGACTTGGACTTGTTTATTTTTTAATATAGTATCAATTGTATAATTGTATATTGTATTATTGTTTTTCACAAATGAATTAATAAATCCACTAATAACAGTTTGATTAGAGGCAATAATAATAATAATAATAATAATTTTTATTGATTTATGTTATTTTAAAGGCGAAAAAATTCAATGTTCAGATACTTTGAAGTGAATTTTATATCTTTTCCATTTACTAAGTCGTTGAAGTCATACTTCGATAATCATCTACTTTTCCATTCTATAAATAAAAAGTTCCGAGCGTAAAAAGCTTATATAACAGGTTAATAAACTTGATATATCTATATGCTTCGGACCCAGTTTCCTTGTTCTATTAATTAATTTTCTATCTTAAAAAAATGCTGTAAGTTTTTTAAATAAAGTTAATAGATACAGTAAATAGATTAGTAATTAGTTGCCTAGAATGTTAAATAAGTTTATGCAATACCTTGTCCACATTTTATAATGCATATATACAACGTGCAGTATATGTTTTTAGTCTTAAAAATAAAAAATGTATTAAAACTGTTTCGAGTAACTTCTTAACGGTAAACAAAATAATTTTATAAAAATTAAGTTTCTTAGAACAAATAAAAGATTGTAAAACAAAGACCAATATTTTTTTTTTGACAAATAGATTACGTGTATCGGACGATGCATTATAAGAAATGAATTTCGATTGTTTTTTTTTTATTCTGCACGTTTTTTTTTGGTTAACGCTTTTTTATTAGTATATATTACCAGCGAAATCAAGAGGTAAATTTCCTATTTGAGATATTTTATACGCCATTAAAAAAACAAATATGCAATCTTAACCTATCGCTCTCAAAGATACAGATTTGCTGGATCAAACACCCAATGAATTGGTGTATAATCCATGCACCAAATCAAAACTGCGATTTATATAGAACGTGAAATTTTAAATGAATATTGTTGTGTCACCGGAGAAATCTTAGGGTCACAGATCAGTGGTAAAATCGGAATTTTAGATTATTAGACTTGTTTAACTAAATTTGAATTTAATATTTAACATCTTGCTGCTTGGAGAACCAAAAGCGGTGCGAGTCACCCTGCAGGTAGAGTAAACTTTTTCTGCATAATATTTATTTCAAAAAAATTGACCTTATCACTATTCGCTTTTCTCTCTTTTTTTTTAAAACCATTTTCAAAAGGTTGTCCTCGTGATATAACGAAACCTAACTTAATACGAAACGTCACAGATCCTAAATCATCCTGCCATTACACCTTTTTACATGTCCTTCGATCAACTACCACTTTCTTTAACATTTCATAAAAATGACGACTGAAAATTCCAATAACAATACTTCTACTTGGACACCCTTGCCAAAATTCGGTTATGGTTTTGCAATATATCCATTCACACCTGGAGTGCAAGCAAATTCTTCAGATTCAACCAAAGGAGAAACAATACCAGAAAGTACTGGAGGTACTTCTTCTGATGCTGCATCGGTA